AGTGTGGGGTTATGAATAAAATGTATGTATTAAAGTGTTAAGGGAGGTGTAGTCACTCTTATATCAAAATGTATCCTACCCGTCCCACAGCTTACATTACAACCAATTAAAGTCCTACTTGATCCTTGAATGAATGAGCTCGATGAGTTGAGTAGTACACTATGGGAAAGAATATGGTTCATCTTCTGTGGCATGTGAATGTTATTTCTGAGAGTGAATGAATTCTTTCTATCTTGAGTTCTTAATTGTTCTTAACTTTTATTGTATGTGGAACTACTCTCTATTGTTGTGTGAGGGCACTTGATTCATGAAGGAAAGGTAATTATTGACCTTTATGTTAGGGTAAGTGAGCAGGTTATAAATAATGAGTGGTACTTGTGAGACAAATCTTGAGGTGAAGATGCTACACTATGGTGCTTAGTCTCTTTTAAATATTATTGGTATGATGAGTTATGAGAGTTATTTAAAAAGGTCGTGTCATTATAAAGTGTAGTTTGATTGCTCGAGGACGAGCAATGGTTTAAACGTGGGGTGTTGATGGTAGGCTATAATTGTGTATTTTAGTTTCTTATCGCACTCTAATTTACTACACTTTAATTGAGTTTGAGCTTTAATCGTTAGTGTTTTGCACTAATTATATGTTTTGCGCCTTGTAGGAATGATTTCGAGCTATGTAGATGTTATGGGATGAATTCACGCTATTTTGGAGCTTTGAAGTATGAGTAAAAGTCCAAGGATTAAGTTGGGATCGAGTTTGGGGATCAACAGACACTAGTGCATTCAAAGAGAGAAACGAATAATCAAGTCGGACGTCACCCAGGTGCGCGAGCGTGCACTGGGCGCTCATGTAAGGCAGAATACTACGCAAAATCCGCGGCCATATGCGCGAGCACACCCCCAGGTGCGCGACCATGCACGTCCAATCCCGAAATTGTCCTATTTCGCATAAAAAGGGTAGTTTCGTTCGAGGTTTGTTTTGGCGGCGGCTTAAATACACCAAAACACCATTTTAGAAGGATGTTTTGACAGATATTTGTACCTAAGGAGGCTTGGGAAGAACACAAGCACAAGGATTTCATCATTCCTTCCTCACTCAAGATCCAGATTTGGATTGAATTTATGTTTTCCTATACTTTAGTTATATTTGTGAAGAACTTCTCCATGTCTATGGAGTAGTTCCTTTTGGGTTTTGATGAATTTGGTGTATTGATGATTGTTTGTGGATTAGAACTCTATTTTTATGTATTTGAAACATTTTTTGAAGATTTAATTGTTGCATCTATATTTACTTGTTCTTATAATCGAAAGAGGCATAACTTGTGATATCTTTGCACTATATTGTTGGTTGAGTTCATAGATTCTTCTAAGTAATCAAAAGAGGCTAGTTGAATCATTTATTATATCTAGTTAGGAGAATAATTGAAAGAGGTTTTTCTAAGGACCGATCCACTTCGCATTCTTGCATATCTTAACGAGCTTAAATTAGTTCATATTGTGAGGTTGAGACTTAATCAATAGAGGAGTTTCTACTAAACAGTTGTACTGATAAGTTAGTGAATTCGAGAGACTCACTTGAACATTAGAAGTGAATTATCTAGAGTTAAATCTTAGACAATTATCTTGCACATATCCTATCAAAATCCTATTTTCCCCCCATTGATATATTTTTTTGTTAGTCCTTGCTTCAATTGTCATTAGTCGATTAGCTTTAGATTCTTAGTTAAATTTTATTATTAATCATATAAATCTCAATTGTTGATCCTCCTGGATATCAATCAAGTTATAAACTACGAGAATAGTATTTAAATTCAATCCATGTGGACACGATATTGTACTATACTATCTTTGACTAGCGAGCACCATTTAAGTGTGTATTTTGCGCTCGACAGGTTCCAGCACCGGTTGCTCCATTACCTGATTAGCCTACTAGCAGCTAGAGGTGGTAGTCAGACCGTTAGAGGTGGAGGTCAGCCAGTTAGAGTCCATCCGAAAGGCGGAAGTCAGAGAGGTGGGGCTAAGCCCCATTTTTATGCATTCCCAGCTAGACTTGAGCCAGAGTCATCAGATGCAGTTATTACAGGTACTTTTTCAGTTTGCCATAGAGATGCTTCAATTTTATTTGATCCGGGATCTACTTATTCATAAGTGTCATCCTATTTTACTTCATATCTGATTATGTCTCGTGATTCTTTGCGTGCTCTTGTTTATGTGTCTACGCCTGTGAGAGATTTTATTGTGGTAGATCGTGTTTATCACTCATGTGTGGTTTCTATCGAGATCTCTGAGACTAGGGTAGACCTTCTACTTCTTGATTTGGTGGATTTTGATGTGATCTTAGGCATGGTCACGCCAAGACTATGACATTATCCATGTAAGAGTTGCCTCGATTGGAGTGGAGAGGGACTCTTGGCCATTCCACTAGTAGGGTCATTTCTTACGTGAAGGCCCGACGTATGGTCGAGAATGGGTGTCTAGAATATTTGGCCAATATCCGTGATCCTAGTGCGAAGGTTCCTTCCATGTATTCAGTACCAATTGTACGTGAGTTACCAAAGGTGTTTCCTACATATTTTTCATGGATGCCACCTAACAGAGATATCGACTTCTGCATTGATCTGGTTCCAGGAAATCAGCCCATTTCTATCGCACCATATCGTATGGCCCCAGTTGAGTTGAAAGAATTGAAGGAGCAGTTACATGATTTGCTTGATAAGGGATTCATTATACCTAGTATGTGGCCTTGGGGTGCCCCAGTGTTGTTTTTGAAGAAAAAAGATGGAACGATGAGGATGTGTATTGATTATCGATAGTTGAACAAAGTTACTATCAAGAACAAGTATTTGTTGTCGAGGATTGATGACTTATTTGATCGGCTTCAAGGTGCCAAGGTTTTTTCCAAGATTGACTTGAGATCTGGCTACCATCCGTTAAAGATTAGGGCATCGAATATCCCTAAGACAACTTTTCTGACTCGGTATGGTCACTATGAGTTCCTAGTGATGTCATTTGGCTTGACTAATGGTCTAGCAGCCTTTATGGATTTCATGAACCGGCTGTTCAAGACCTATCTGGATTCTTTTATTATCGTATGATATTTTGGTCTACTCCCGCAGTCGAGAAGAGCATGAGTAGCATCTTCGAATTTCAGACTTTGAGGAATCGTCAGTTATATGCCAAGTTTTCGAAGTGTGAGTTATGGTCGGACTAGGTAGCGTTCTTGGGCCATGTTTTATCTTCTGAGTGCATTAAAGTTGATCCTAAGAAGATTGAGTAAGTTCAGGACTGTCCTAGACCTACTTCAACTACAGAGATTCAAAGCTTCTTGGGTTTGGCGGGTTATTATCGCTGGTTAGTGGATGGGTTTTCATCTATCTCTACCCCATTGACCAAGTTGACCTAGAAGGGTACTCTTTTCAGATGGCCTGACAAGTATGAGTTGAGCTTCAAGAAGCTCAAGACTACTTTGACTACAGCTCCAGTGTTGGTATTGCCTATAGGTTCGGGATCCTACACCGTGTGTTGTGATGCATCGTGTATTGGGCTTGGCACGATATTGATGTAGGATGGTAGGGTGATTGCCTATGCGTTTTGGTAGTTGAAAGTTCATGAGAAAAATTACCATGTGTATGACTTAGAGTTGGCAGCCATTGTTCACATGCTGATGATTTGGAGGCACTATCTGTACGACATTTATTGTGAGGTCTATATTGACCATCAGAGTCTCCAGCACCTGTTCAAGCAGAAAGACCTTAATTTGCGGCAGCAAAGATGGTTAGAGTTAGTGAAAGACTATGATATCACCATATTATATCACTCGGGGAAGGCCAATGTAGTGGTCGATGCATTGAGTAAGAAGGCTGGGTGCATGTGCAGTTTTGCGTATTTACCAGTAGCAGAGAGGCAACTAGCCATGGATGTTCAGGCTTTGGCCTATCATTTTGTAAGATTGGATGTTTCGGAGCCCAGCTATGTTCTGTCTTGTGTTGTGGCACAGTCTTTGTTATTAGAATGTATCAAGGCTCTCCAGTTTGATGATCCTCACTTGTTGGTGTTGAAGGATATGGTGCAGTGAGCTGGTTCTAGGTAGGTTGTGATTGGTGATGATGGTGTTATGCGGCTTTGGGACTGGATTTATGTTCCAAATTTTGATGGGTTGAGAGATATGATCCTTGAGGAGGCTCACAGTTCACGCTATTCTATATACCCAGGTGTCCCGAAGATGTATCGTGACTTGAAACAACACTACTGGTGATGAAAAATGAAGAAAGACATCGTTGCGCATGTATCTCGGTGTTTGAATTGTCAACAGGTGAAGTATGAGCATCATAAATTGGGTGGATTGACTTATAGATTGGAGATATCGGAGTGGAAGTGGGGGTGCATTACTATGGATTTTGTGGTAGGCTTACCCCGGACCTTGAGGAAATATGACACAATATGGGCTATTGTGGATCGATTGACTAAGTCTGCACACTTCATTACGATGGAGACTTCCTATTCCTCGGAGCGGTTGGCTTAGATTTACATTCAGGAGATTATCCTCCTACACGGCGTGCCCATATCCATCATTTCTGACCGAGGCACGCAGTTTATATTGCATTTTTAGAGACCCGTGCAGGGTGAGTTGGGCACACGGGTCGAGCTGAGTACCGACTTTCATCCTCAGACGGATGGGAAGTCCAAGAGCATTATTCAGATCTTGGAGGACATGTTACGCGCATGTGTTATGAATTTCGGAGGTTCATGGGATCAGTTTGTACTCGTAGAGTTTGCCTATATCAATAATTACCAGTCGAGTATTCCTATAGCACCGTATGAGGCCTTATATAGAGGTGTTGTCGTTCGTTGATTGGTTGGTTTATGCTTGGAGAGGCTAGGTTGTTGGGTACTGATTTGGTTCGTGATTTTATGGATAAGGTTAAGGTGATTCAGGAGCGATTTCGTACAACTCAGTCCAGGCAGAAGAGTTATGTAGACCTAAGATTCGGCATGTAGCTTATATGGAGGGTGAGAAGGTTCTTCTCCGAGTGTCGCCTATGAAAGGCATGATGTGGTTTGGAAAAAAGGACGTCGAGCCCGAGTTTGTTGGGCAATTTGAGATCTTAGAGAGAGCTGGGGAGGTTGCTTATATGCTTGCATTGTCTCCTAACCTAGAAGGAGTACATCCGGTATTCCATGTTTCCATACTTCGGAAGTACCATAAGGACAACTCGCATGTTTTGGACTTCAGCACGGTGCAACTTGATGACAATTTGGCCTACGAGGAAGAGTCGATGGCTATTCAAGCCCGACATGTTCGAAAGTTGAGATCTATGAGTTTTTCTTATGTGAAAGTACGATGGAGAGGTCAGTCGATCGAGGCAGCTATGTGGGAGTCTGAGTCCTATATGCGGAGTAGATACACCCACCTTTTTACCAGTCCAGGTACTTCTCTGTGTCCGTTCGAGGACGAACGATTCTTTTAGAGGTGGAGAATGTGACGACCTGATAAGTCACTTTGAATATTAGGTGTTATATGACTTGCGTGAATGATCTGTATTGTTTTTCGAAAAGTTTTTATGTGGAATTTTAAAGAAAATGTGATTTTTGGTTTTAAAAATAACTTGAGCAGACCACGGTCAACATTCTTGGTAAATGACTTCGGCTCGGTATTTTGACGATTCCGGTAGATCTGTATGATATTTTTGGACTTGTACGCACGTTTGGTTGCGGGCCGGGTTGACCCGAGCGCGTTTCGGCGCATTTTGTGAAAGGTTGTGAAAAATAAATTTTTAAGTTGAAATCTTGAGTATTGACGACCAAATCTTGTTATTTAATGTTATTTTAATGATTTGAGGTGTCTAGCAGGTTTATGATGTTACTATACTTGTCTGCATGTTTGGTTTGGAGCCCGAGGGGCTCGGGTAAGTTTCGGGTGAGTTCCAGATGAGTTTGGTTAACTGGTGTGCTTCAGTTCTTGTGCTAAAATGTAGGTCTCGCACTTGCGATGACTTGTTCAGAAATGCAAACTCTACTTTTGCAAAATTGAGCTTGCATTTGCGATGAGGGATTGGTAGGTAGACTTCGTATTTGCGAAAAAATTCTCGCATTTGCGGCATCCCAGGCTTCGCTTTTGCGATAGCTTTGTTGGATTTGCGACTAGACACTAGACTTAGGCAGGTTCACAAATGAAAACCTTTGATATTTGCGGTGGAATGGGGCATCACAAATGCGATGTTTTTGTCGCATTTATGACTTATGCAGGATGGGGGCACAGTTCGCATTTGCGGCCTGTGTTTTGGAATTGCAATGGTCGCAATTGCGAATAAGAGTTCGCAATTGCGGCACCTGCAGTTGTGTAAAAGAGGGAAAAAACTGGACATAGCTCAATTTACACCATTTATCAACCCTAAACACTCTAGAGGTTAACTCCTAAAGAAAATTTGTGGTTGAGCATTGATTTGGTTTAGGAGTGAGATACTGGTGTTGGTCCCAGCAGCAGTTAGCAGAGGCTTGCTCTGATTAATTGATCATGGAGACTTGAAGTATAGCTGCACGACGTCTGCAACCTTGAAGTCCCCTTCTTTATCTAGTTCTACCGTTTATCATTATTTCAAACAGTTGTACTTTCATTTAGACTTGGGTTGTTGTACTGTTAGAATGATCATGTACTTGTTACACCAAATTCCGGGGTTTGTTTAGTTAGCGTTTGAAGTTATTATATATGCTTTTAAAACTCTACACCTTTATTTCTTGTTATTTTGCTTCTAATTGGTTTTAAAGTGATTAATGGTGTACTAAAGTTAGCTTGCCTAGCAAGTGGACGTTAGCCGTTATCACGTCTCCGAGGTTGAGATTCCGGGTCATGACAGAAAATATTCTTGACCAACGTTATAAGAGTTGCATCCAACATAGATCTCGTGATCTGCTACTTCCATCGTCAAAATCTCCACTGTTTTAGCTCAATAGCTTCATTGAGAACCCAAAAACTTATGGTAGCCTCATCAAAAACCCAAAAACTTATGGTAGCTTCATTAAAAATTAATTCAGATCCAAAATTACAGTTTCATTATGAGTATCTTTCGTGCATCTATTTATTACGTATTATTTTTGCAGTTGATCGAGATTTTATTAACCACTTCAGATTTCATATTATTTCTGCGGTGGATTGAGCTTCATGTTACTATTAGTTAAATGAATCAAATTTTGTTTTTGAAGTTTAACAAATGAAAACGAGTATGAAATATAAGTTTTAAATAATTTTATGCTACTTAGAATTCGTTAGGAATCATATTTAGTTATTTGAAAATTAAAACTTAAGATATCATAACATAAAAAGCTTCAAAAAAATTTAAAATATCAGATTTAATAATTAAAATCGTCAAAACCATCAAAACATTCAAGAAAGTAATAGGTAGTATTTTCCAAGAAACTTCAGACTAAAGAGTTTGTATTTCCAAACATATAGAAACTAACTTCAGCCTGTGTTAACCTGAACTGAAAACACTTTTGATATGATATATTTAGTCATTCATTTAAGCGCATGATGGGTACAATTTGCCTTGTTACTACTTTCTAGGTGAGATGGACCTTAGATTATAAGTACTTAAATCATGAAACAAAACTTGTTCTAGTTAATTATTCAACACTATTCTGAAAAAAGATTAGTGAAGTTAAAAATTTTAATGACAACAAGTATGAACTAAAAGTATAGTTTGACATAAAAATAAAGACAAGTAAAGGGATGCTTGTAACTTCATATGACGAACTCAGAAACTGTATACATTTACTGACTAATGATTTAGCTTTCAAGAATAGACATTTCATCAGTGAAGAAGGACAAGGATTTCCTGACACTACACCTCCTTCGAAATCTGGAATATTGCAAGGATTTTCTAACCCTATAACGATTCATACTACTCTGCTGGAGGTTAACAAGAATTACAACTAGTAATAAAAATAGACAACCAACACATCATGCGACGGAGTTTGTTCTTATCTCCTCCAAATGATATGTAACAATCAAGATCAAGACCATACATAGACTGCACCTGCAATAGCAATGATAATTAAAGAAATTATTAAAACTTCAACTACTAAGAAATTCAGTAAAAGGGCAAGGAGAAAGGCCAAAGAATCTCTTTTTTTATTAACAAGAAGAGCATAACTAAATTCTTCTACAAACTGTAAATCAAGCAAAAAGTTAAATTCATTGTTGTTAGATCATGCTCAAAGAAATATGAGCTAAAGTGTAAAAGGAGAGGTGTGGTTGGAATGCACATGCTACAAGTACTAGAGATTCCACACTCTTGAAGATAACAAAATTTTAGAACAATCATGAATGCTCAGTTGATGTCAAAATATTTGATCAAAAGCATGCCACATTAAAATTTATAAGTGACCAAATTATAGAATGTATACGAGATAAACTGATTGAGGTTACGACAGTCTTTATATCAAGCGAAAATAAAATAAAATTTGTAATTAACATTGGACATCAAAAGGCATGGCTTTAATAAACTATTGCTTGTATGTCACGACCCAATTTCACCTTTAGGTCGTAATGGCGCCCAACACTATAGCTAGGCAAGCCAATAAATAAATTAAATATATATCAATTATTTTCAGAATGATTTTCTAAGTAATTTTATTCTTTTACTAGCAACATTAAGGAGAATAGAAAAGATACCGATTAATTTAAATTCAAGAAAAAAATACCAATTTCTAAATTCTACTAATGTGTGTGCCAAGACCTAGTGTCACAAGTGTATGAGCATCTAGTAGATTATACAAACCTCTAAATAATGTCTGAAATAAAATAGACAGAATGTAAATACAAGAAGAGACACTGGTAGCTGCAGAACGGCTCAGAAAGACAGCTCACCACTACGCCTCTGGATAACGTGGGTGTAAGATGTTAGGTCATCCACTAGTACTTGCCTCAGGTCCTGCACAAAAAGTGCAGCAAGTGTAATATAAGTACGTAAACAACGTGTACCCAGTAAGTATCAAGCCTAATCTCGAAGTGGTAGAGACG